TTCCGTTAAGTAACAATTAAGGCAGTTTTTGTGCCTATTTATCTTCTGTCAGCTGGAATATTTTATATATTAATTTCAAATATGGAAAAAAACAGTGTCAATAAATAAAAAAGAAACGTGCTGGACCTCAATAAAGGCACAAAGGTCTAAACATTTTACGCCACTACCATAATTGATTCATCAAGAAATTTATTATCGTATTGATTAAGGTAATAAATCGTTTTACCATTAATTACACCGACAAAATTTTGACCGGCCATAACTCGTAATCAAAGGGTGTGATACTGGTAATCTACTACTTTTTTAATTATGGATAATTGAAATTGTTCTCCAAAATTGAATATCAATACTAAAATACATAGTTTGTAACTAAAAAGAAAAAAAAAAAATATTTCTTCAATAAAATAATATTTTCCATCACATTAATAATTTTTTTTTTCTTTTTCAATCGCACATTTCACATCATGGATAAAATGAATCAGATTAAATCCCTCCCAAACAAGCACTAGATAAAATGACCATTGTAATTGAATTGCAATTTTAATTTTGTTTTGTTTATTGTCTGTGGATTTAAGGACAATTGACATATTTTCTAAAAGGAGTCACCATTATTAATGATTCGATGTGGTACTAAAGTGTCACTATCAAATGAGTTGTACAATCCTCTAGAACCACCTCTTTTTGGCAATTCAATTTGATCTCCATCACGTTATATTTTTAAATTTTGTTTTTTATGAAAAACAGTGAATCCATCGAGAATGAATCAGATTAAATAGGGAAAAAATAATTCAGGGGTTTTGATCTATAAGAAGTTATATGCGAATTGTGAATTATAATTTGTACCCAACTTCGAAAAGAAATAGAAATAATTTGTTACCATTATTCCAAGGAAAAATGGTTCATTATTTTGTAAAGAATGGTTCATTTTTGGTGATGGTCCACAACTCAATGCACAAATTTGGATATACGTCACGTCCGGTAGTTGAGTTTGAGTTTGGATATACTTCAAAAATATTTATTATTATATAATTTAACGTACTAAAGTAAAATTTGAAATAATTACAATGTGTATGGAATCATGGTCACGTGTCTCTGTATAATATATTTGTCGATTACAACATAAACTTGGAAAGTATCGTTGAATGAATTTGTCGATCGAGCATGAGATTCAAATCATTTGCATGCATACTAATTTGTAAGTTAAGTAGAGTTCGAAGCTTCACTATACGAAAATGGTTATGCTAGACGAACATAATTCATTGTACATAATAGTACCCACACCCTCACATGGAGGGAGGTATATTTCGGATAAATTTTATTCGAAGTGGGTTTTCCTCCATGTGAGGGTGTGGACACTATTATAAACAATTGATTCTGTACAAGTAGCATAATTCATACAAAAAATTTACCAGAATTATATTAAATGCTAATAATTCTCCATTTTCCGTTATGAATATTTTTATATAATTCATGCATTCATTATCATCATTTCAGTTTTATGATTAGTAATAAAACATGAAATAATGCTGACGTTAAAAATAATTATTACTGTCTTAAATAATTTTGTATTTTTAAATATTTATTTTATGTAAAAATCAAGATATAAATACAAGAACCTTTACGCAGAATGTATTCTTTAGAGCCACAGTTTGTGTAGCAAATATGTGGTCTTTATTCAGGCTATTTCTGCCTCTATCTCTGTTTATCATTCTTCATGCTGAAGGTGGAAGCGTGAACAGGAAAATTTGGCCATTCAATAATTCGATTCCGGCAATTTTTGTGTTCGGAGATTCGACTGTTGATTCTGGCAATAATAATTACTGGAAAACTCCTTTTAAAAGCAATTTTCCGCCTTATGGGATGGATTTCATGAACCATATTCCGACAGGAAGGTTTACAAATGGACGGCTTGTCACTGATTTTATAGGTAACAAACAAACAATTATTATTATTTTTTTTAATCTAGTTTTTTTGTTCACTAAAATTAAATCTTTGTGTGTTTATTTTGTAAACAGCTTCATACTTGGGGATCAAAGAGTATGTACCACCGTATTTGGATCCAACACTAAGCTTGGAGGAGTTGATGACTGGAGTTTCTTTTGCTTCCGCCAGCTCCGGGTTCGACCCCCTCACACCTACAATAAGTGTGCGTCTCTCTCTCTCGTACATCTTTTTAACGTAAAGCTTTCGGAGATAGAAATTATGTTCCATTCTATGGATATAGAATGGCTTTGCATGACCTTGAACGTGTCAAGATTGTTTAAGAGTTCCTCTCTTTGTGTTTCAGTTTTATATCTTGAATTTTGAATTCATTTTGAGTTTTGTGTTTCGAGTGTCCATTTTGAAATTGTTGAAAATGTATTCTTATTGTCATTTTGAAAAAATTATTTTGAAAATACCCAAAATGCGTTTTGAAAATTTTTGATTTGATTATAACTGAAAACATTTTAACTTATTTTCAAAAACACGTTTTCGAAAAAATAGGAAAGAAAACGCGTTTTCATTGTTTTGAAAATCGAAAACAGAAAACGATTTGAAAATAGTAAAGAGAACCGTCCCTTAATTTTTCTTAAGTCGGTCAAGGACGATTGTGGAATGTTGTTATTATTAAAATACAACAATGCCCCTAGGCAGAGTATTTTCTTGAAATGATTGCGACATAATGACTACTTATTTCTAGTTAGAATTAATTAAAATTTTCTTTTTGAAATTTCGTTTTACAGAATAAACTTAAACTAAAACTCACTACCTGCAAATAAAACCATCAACGGCTTAAGTTTATATTGGCTCTTTCTCAAGTTTATATCAATAGTTTTCCTTCAATGACTGATGAGATGAGACGAGATAGAATCACGAAATAGGAATAGTACAAGGTTTAGTTCGAATTGGAGACATGAAAAGCAGTTGTATAAATATACCACACACGGTACATGTATATAGACATGTCTGGTTTATCAATTAGTAGAAAAATTACTTATTTTGACAAGAATTATTTACAAATTACGCTAAAAAAACATTAATTACTTCAAACCTCACTTATAAGTGAATTTTAGGCCTAGACAAAGCATGCATTTTGTCTTCTTTATGTTTCCATGTACCAAATTAAAAAATGAAAAAAGATCTGTTTTCTTCTTTTTGATTTCCTAATAATGTAATGTCGTTTTTCCTTTTTCTTTCTTTTCCGATAATTATTCGAAATATGTTGACTTCGTTAGCTAATTCATTCTGACTCTGACAGGGTGTAATCTCCATGCAAAAACAACTGGAATATCTTAAAGAATACAAAACAAGACTTGAACTCGCAATTGGAAAGGAAAGAACAAAAAGTCTGATGAGTAAGGCCGCGTTTGTTATAAGTTGTGGTACAAATGACTTTGTGATAACTTATTATGGCACCCCATTTCGACGCCAAACGTACTCAGTCTCTGGTTACCAGCAATTCTTGTTGCAGCATGTCCAGCAGTTCTTACAGGTTTGTTCATACATCATTATCAAATTAGTAGACAAGTACCAAGTCATTTATGTGCAGATAACACCCGTTCTCTCCAGTAATATTTATTATAGTTGGGAAAGTTCGACCAAAGTTCCGCGTCGGTTAAAAATATAGAATTCAACCTAGTGCTCTAACCTTTTGAGGTGGAACCCTAAATCTATTTTGGGTGGGATCAATAGAACCTAAAGGGTAATGGCGAAGCACCTGACTGGTGAGCCGATATTCTTTCTCTATCATTCCTCCTATGCAAGCCTGTGTTAGTAACGAAGAAGCGTCACTTTGAATATATGTTTGATCCACGTTTAAATTTTCATTATCATTCTTTTACTCATTTTTAACCACACATTCTTCAAGAAAATAATATTTTTCATCACACCAATACCTTTCACTTCTTTTTCAACCACACATTCTTCATCAATCTACTATTTCAAAATAATGTGGCTCAAACACCTTTCTTTCCTTCGAGTTAGGAGTCTTACTTGATCTTTCTTGGTGTCAAGATAGTTATCTCGTTTTTTCTTAGTTATCTACTTTATATTCTATAAGGGTCGACGACCCTTTAACTTATAAGTAATTAAGGTATGACGACGTGTTTGATAGAATGAATTAAACAATATTGAACAATGCTTAATTATTTAAAATTCAAAAGAAACTTTATTTCATGGTGGCCCATTAAATTTGACACGTTTTCAAAATTCAAAGAGTGCTTTTACAGTTGGTTCTGATGTGGTGTCATGATCAACCATACAGGTAATCTTGTGAGTTAGTGGCGACATTAAACATATTTATTAGGTGGGACTATTAAGTTGGTGCCGCACTTCAATTATTTATAATTTATAATTAAGGTATTTCAACATTTTTT